TATATATATATATATATATATATATATATATATAAAATTCACTTTGGGGAAGGCTGAAACTGTAGGGGATTAAGTCTAGGTGAGAATTGGCCCTCCCTGGTGGCACAGTGGGTTGAAGCACAGCATTAGGGAGCCACTTCTGCATGAATTCAATCCCCCCAAGGGGGTGACCCACTTGGTGCCTCAGACCTCTCCTGGCCTACGCTTTGCTCCCCTTAGCAGTGTGCTTCATCCATCTGCCTGTTCTGCTCCCCACTCTGTCTCTGGTAAATCCTCTTGCTGCACCTGCACCTCTGACCTGTACTCCACTTCTGTATGCATAAATAAATCTTAAAAAAAAAAAGTTTAGGTGAGAATTAGCATGAGCAACTACATTTTGGGGGAAAAGATGGATTTTATTTTTCCTGCAACCCTAAAAATGTAAAAACCATTCTTACCTTGGAGTACTTGAGCTGCAAGTTGCCCACTTTTGTTCAAGTCTCTAACCCCCCTTTTTTTTAATATTTATTTATGCATACAGAACTGGGATACAGGCCAGAGGTGCAGGGGTGGTGAGAGGATTCACCAGAGACAGAGTGGGGAACAGAACAAGCAGACTGACCAAGTGCACTGCTGAGGGGAGCAGTGGGCGGGTCAGGAGAGGTCTGCCGCGCCATGTGGATCACCTCCCAGGCTGGGATCGAACTCGCCCTGAAGAGGCTACTGCTAGCTTGCAGTGCTATGTCCTAACCTTGTGCCACCAGGGAGGGCCTCTAACCCCTTCTTTGAGGTCAACAACAGCAAAACATGTCACTGTCACATTCCTTAAACAGTGGTTCTCAGCATTGGCTAAGCATTAGAAAAACCTTTAAGTTGCTTTTTAAAAAAAAAAAAAAAAAATTGGTATAAGCCTTGGAATAAGTCTAACTGGTTCAGATTCTTACATTGCTCTAAGTGGTTCTATGAGCAATTTAGAGTTGAGAACCCTTGTTAAAAAACAAGTCACATCCAGAAAGAGCAGTTTCTCCCAAGAAAGGCAGCTTTTCATTTTGCCATGCACTGTGGGTTAGCTCATTTGCTCAGCTCAGTTCCAGCAGGTTTTGGAATTGGATCTGGACTTCCGTGTAAACAAAAGACTAATCCTAATAACTACCGCTTAATAACAACTTGTATTGTTACAGGTACTTTGCAACCTAAGTTTTACATCAACCTTACAGATTCCGTTACTGATGCATTTTCAGAACTATAAAGACGTCTAAGAGACCACACTTGGAAGGTGCTAAGGTTGACTTCAGAACTGTGCACAAGGATATTTTAATTAATGCCTCTCCTTACAAGAAATTGCATATTGTTAATAGTTTTCAGGCAGCTTGCTGTTACTTTTTTCACAACAGTTGGGAGTCTAATTTCAGGACAAATCTCAGATATTTCTTCCCATAGGCAAGAAAAGGAAAGAAATCTTGCTGTTTGGTTTCAAATTTGTATAGATCCACCACTATATTCAAAAACATTTACTGTGTGTTTTTCATAGTCCAGAAAGGGCATTTCATACACAAAGAAGAAAACAAGTCACTATTTGAGGCTTTTCAATTCAACAACCAATCTGAAGTTTCATGTAGAAAGCAAAATTTGCCTCCCCAATGTATGTCCATGTGAGACTACAGCAAGAAGGCAGCCCATCAGCAGGGGTGTGAGGTGACCAGGGGTAGGTTCTTCTCTTATCAGTAGAGAAGAACAATCAGCACAACCATCATAGCCTTACTGTGCTTTTCCAGGTAACCTCTCCAAACTGATCTTTTTCCCCTCCCTCAAGATCCTTTGTCTTTTAGACGTTATTTAAAGACTTGGTTTATGCCATCTCTGCAAGTCATCTTTGACCCATTTTTCCTTGGGTCAGTCCTTACACAAGACCTATATATATTGTCAAACTTTTCTCCTACTAGTTCCTTTATTACAGGGGATTGTCTCAGACAACTCAGAAGGGTAAAGGGAAACTGTTTTCCCTCCATTACAGGATCAACCTAATGAAGTTATGAGCCCCTTTGCAGTGCTACATGTACAGTATTTAGACAGTGCTTGACAGATTAAGTGCACAGATGTTAGGTGTCACTTAGATGTTTTTTTAGTAAACATTAAGTCAGTACTCCGGTATATAAAAACAAATATACTAGATTTCTTATTCTTAGGTTTCCTGGGGAGGAGGGGGAGAGTGGGAGGGAGGAGAGAGGGATGGATGAACAGTAGGATTTCAAGTTATGGGGAGAAACTCAGCAATGAGATAACAGGTTCAAAGAGGTCAAGTCTGTGGTGTATCTTGAGGAATAAAAATAAATTAACCGCGATGCGGTAGTTACTCCAGCTAGTGTGCAGGACTGAAGGTAAGATAGATCTAGGGAAGTTAAAGCTAACAGTGGGCCAGACGAGGAAAGTTCTGTGACCTCTCGCAACAATTTATGCTTTTTCCTAGTAGACGATAGAATGCCCAATGGTCGTTCCCAGCTGACAGGGAGGCAATACGAGTTAGCTTTGTGTTCCAAAAAAAAAAAAAAATTTACAAACGTGCAAAAGAACTATTACTCTTTTCAAAGTTCAATGCTAACTCCGCAGTAAGCCACAATGGTCAAGCCGAAATTTAGGTTAAGAGCTCGGAAAGCGGCACAGCTTGCCAGAGGTCAAACGACAACAAATAAGCACAAAATGGAGGACAGGCGGGGGCGTAAAGAAAAGACTTCGCGAAAAACGAATGGGTGGAACACGACGTAATGGCGAAATTGTTCTGTTTGAGTCCTTCCATGATATTGGCTTGAGGATTACATTTTTTTCAATTTCCATTGGCTACCGGCTCCTTCAATCGGTCAAAATAGCCAATCGCCTACGGCTCAGGGTGAAGCCCGCCCTTCCGTCTGGGAAGGAGGAATCAGAAGAGCGAAAAGTGCCCACAGCGCTTGCGCGGGCGCGCGCTTTCCGCCGGTTAAAAGCGGATCTTCGCGGGCGGGAGGCCGTAGCGCGGCGTCTGCATATTGATGACGCAGTGGCGCGCGTAGCGCCGCCCTTTCGGCTGCCCGTCGCTCGCGACTCGAGCTCGGGCTCGCGATGGGGAAGAAGTCCCGAGCAGTACCCGGCCGCAGGCCTATCTTGCAGCTTTCTCCGCCTGGCCCCCGGAGCAGCACGCCAGGCCGGGATCCGGAGCCGGAACCCGACACCGAACCGGACTCGACGGCGGCGGCTCCCAGCCAGCCGGCCCCGGCCCCGGCGGCGGCGGCGGCGGCCACGACAACGACGAGCCCCGCGGTGACTGCCGCCGCGGCCCCCGACGAGTCGCCTTCCGAAGAAGGTAAGGGCGCGCGAGGAAACCCAGCTCCAAAGTGGCGCATCCGAAACTCGAGCTTGGGGTTTGCGGCCTAGGCGGGTCGCTCCGGGACCGGGAGGGAGAGCAACGCGGGAGGGCGGCGGCCGCCGCCTCGCAGACCTGACTGCGCGTAAAGCCTGCGGGGAGGATTGCCGCGGCCCGAGGCGGCGAAGGCGCGGCCCAGAGGCGCCATTTCTGGTGCAAGGGGTGGCCCGGGCACCTCGTTGCCTCCTCCAACGTCCACCCTCGGCTTGGCATAACTTGGGAGCTGGATGTGAGAGGATGGGTTTCCCCGTCCCAGCTTGAGGACAGTGGAACCGGCCTTCTCTCCACGTCACCGTCTCCTTTCGCTTTTGTTAAAGCAGAGAGGGGCCCTTGAGCGACGAGCAAATGTTTTTTGCTTTGTTCTTTTTTTTTTTTTTTTTTTTACTTTTTTACTGTGCCAGCCAGGGCACAAACTGGCAAGTATCCAAAATTCCTGGCGAAGGGGAACCGTGTGGGATTCCTAGTGCTTGTGTGTTTCTCCCTAGAAGGGACCGAGCTTGCTACAGGGCCTAGACCCTGCTGAAGCCGCCACCATTTCAGTTTCAGGTGTTTAAAAAAAAAACACACACACATTGCGATTTTTTTTTTTTTTTAGTTTTCATGATTACTTTTTAAGCTTCAGCGAAAATATGTGCTTTAACTGCTCTTTCTAAAGGCCCTGTGGTAGCATGGCGACTAAAGGGGTGGCTTGCGTGCGTACTTTGGTTTAATTTCAGTTGTATTTTTTACATAGGAGCTTTGCCTTTATTGTTTCGTCTTTAGGCAGAGGGGAGCTTGTGGTTGTGCTTGTTTCAGTAGTGAATTGATTGTACACCCTGTTTTTCAGTTAATAAAACCTAAACTGGAAGGGTCAAATCAAAGATTTCTTTGTCACCTGTAGTGTTTTTTGCTGGTCCTTAGTCTGACTAGTTTTCTTTTGTTCTTTTTTTTTTTTTTTTCCTTCAGATGAACAGGAAGTGGTGGTGGAAGCTCCCCGAGTTCAGAATCCTCCAAAACCAGTCATGACCACTAGACCCACTGCGGTTAAAGCAACAGGTACAGGTTCTCTAAACATCTTTTCTAGAATATCTCTTATTAGGATCAAATTGAGTCTGTATATAGCGCTATGTGGAGTCCTAAAGTGTCACTGACAGTTCCCTTATAAAATGAACATTTTAAATCTTTGTGAGGGCTTGTGGTGTATATATAAGTATCAGCAGTGATGTGTGTGTATGTATTAATATCTAACATTAAACAATGTTAACTTTGTTGTTGGTTTTTCACTCTACCCCAAATACTTTGCACTACATTTAATATATTATTCCACAGCTAGTTTTCTGCTTCCTCGAGGTGTTTTGTATGTTACCAATACAGCCATGTCTTCTCATTCTGTTTTTCTAACACACTGCCTTCCTTGCTACCTGACGTATATATGGAGTTGAAAATTGCTATTATTAGATGACTTTTTTTTTTTAATGGTGTATTTATGCATACGGAACTGGGGTGTAGGCCAGAGGTGCAAGCATTGTAAAAGAATTCACCAGAGGCAAAGTGGGGAGCGGAACAGGCAGAAAGTAAATTGCTGAAGGGAGCAGCAGGCTGGTCAGGAGAGGTCTGCCAGGCCATGTGGATTACATCCCTGGCTGGGGATCAAACTCATGGTGAAGCAGCTGCAGTAAGCTTCATGGTGCTCTCTAACCCCTTGAGCTAAGTACACTGCTGACTGGAGTAGGGGGTGTGAAGAGATCTGCCTCCCCATGTGGTCACCTCCCTGAAGCAATTGCCACCAGCAAGCTTCATGGTGCTGGGCTTTAACCCATTGTGGGGGAGAAGGGGGCATAATGATTTTTGAACGTGAGGGAATACTTGAAATAGATGTTTCAAGTATAATAGACCTGGATTGAGGTCACCAGTCTAACAATCATTTTAAGACCCCAGGACTTAATTCATCTGAATTCATCTGTAAAATATATCTTATGGCTCTGAGTTACTGAGGATTAAGTAATGTATATAAAGATCTCACTTAAAAAAAAAATACCAAGAGTAACAATATTAGTTTTTTCCTACACTGGAATGGTTGAATGGTTAAGGCATATTTTGATCATAAATATCTATAATTAGTTTACTTTTACCCTTTTAAGGTTGGGTTCTTTTTGTATTATGACACCTAAAAAAATAAAGGCCTCTCCCCATTTGCCACTTTAAAAAAAAAAAGCCAATATGGGTTAGAAGGGTTAAAAAACTTGGGTGTGGAAGATGTTTTAGAACAAGAAAATAACATTTTGTGTCTGTAAACTGAATATATTTCATTTCTCTAAGATGCATGTAAGATAGGTGCAGTTTAAGTGTTGCTAGGAGAAATTTCCTTGATTTATCAGTAAACTGCATTTAAGCATCTTTTTTAAAAGACACACTTAAGTGGTTGCTTAAGAATTGACCTTGCTGCCCTCCCTGGTGGCGCAGCAGGTTAAAGCACAGCACTGGGTGGCTGAAGCCACTTCAGCATGAGTTTGATCCCTGCCCCGAGATGATCCACATGGCTGCTCCCCTTAGTGTACTTCCTTGATCTGCCTGTTCTGCTCCCGGCTCTGTCTTTGGTGAATCCTCTCACTGCCCCTGCACCTCTGTCCTGTACCCCAGTTCTGTATGTATGCATGCATGCATAAATAAATGAATGAATCAATCAATAAATCTATCTCTTTCAAAAAAAAATTGACCTTGCTTCCTCTGGTTTCCAGTAACCAAATTTCAGTAGTAGTTTGAGACATGGTCCGGAGGCTTTTATTTTTCAAAGATTAAGCAATTTTATATACTATTGTTAAATAACATTTTCAGTATTAATCTAAATGCTCCCCATTTTCAGGGCATTTGATTTTACATCTTTCATTTTTTTACATAGAAACTTCTAGAAGCTTTGGTCAAAAAATGTATATATTTTTTAATTTGTTGTGATTATATTCCCAACGATGAAATTGCTTAACTAAAAAACGAAGAGTTGGCGCTTCCTTGATGGCACACAAGTTAAAGTCTCAGCACTGTCAAGCTATAGTTACCAACACAACTGCCTATGTTTGCGTCCCTCAACAATGTATTTCAGTAGATCCATCTGTTCTGCTCCCCACTCTGTCTCAGGTGAATCTGCTCACCTGAGCACCCCAACACCTCGACCTATAGCCCAGTTATTCTATGCATAATCTTTTTTTAAAAAAAACTTGAGAGTTTTGCAGCTCTTGGTATGTTACCAGATTGTTTTTAAGAAACAATGGATTAGATAATCAAAACCAGAATTTTTTTTAAAGAGATGTTAATTTATGGGACTTCATGGTGTGGCACAACGGTTATAACAATTCTCAATGCTCATTTTATCATCAGCGACTTCAGCATATGAAGACCTCCTGCTTGCCTACTGCTCCCCTTAGCAGTGTGTTTCATTAGATCCATCTGTTCTGCTCTTGTTTCGTCTCTTTTGAATCTTCTCTCACACACTTCCTTTCTCACACACACTGGCTAATTCTTGTGTGAATAAATAAATCTTTTTTTTTTTTTTTT